TTCTGCCATCAGTCATCTCATGAAGTGACACCTGTGACAGATGGTCAGAACAGCCTGCCTCAGCTTTTCTGTGTAGCTTAAAGGAATAGTTCAGCATCTGGGCAAATATTTGCTCTGTTTTCCAGTGTGAGATGATCTCGTCTGTATGTGCAGTGCAGGGCTGGAGTCAACGTGTGTTTAGCCTAGCGTAGCATAAACATGTGTTGGGATAATGGCTAGCCTGGCTCTGTCCAAAGTAAATATTCTAATCCTCACTAATAAACACAGACTTTTGTTTGTTTACCTGCACATGAACGTAAACATGGTTTTAGTTGGAGGTTGAACCAATTTAATGACAAGCATTGGTTAATTTTTCAGCTGAGGACATTTTTGTTCCTGTATTGGTTAATTAGTGAGCATTAGTCTTAGTTTTAACTCTTAGTTTGAACCAAGAATTATTACTCTGTGGTTGTATGCCTACCACCAACTAGTCAAACTGATGGACAGACAACCCAAAAGAGTGATGGGTGTTTCTCAAGTCTATAAGGGCTGTCATTTCCCCTCACTTGTCCTTTCCTTGTGTCTTAGTCCTGCCCATGTGAGATATGAGGCAGAAAAAAAAGCAAGGTAAACATGCAAGAAGAGAGGACTCGAGGAAACATTAACAATGAGACATCCTTTCCTCCCATCCTTCATCTGAAGTGTCCAGTCACCAACTAATTTCTGATAAAGGGGTGTGTTGGTTAATGAAAGGATGCTCTCGCATATCCCTGCTCATGGCTCCTTCAGCAGCCTCCTCCCTCCTTGATCCTCAGATATAGGAGATTTGGAATGTCCTTGATCCTCTGTTGACCAGAACGACTTCTGAGTTAAGTGAGGAATGATCATATAAGAGACAGGAGAAACACCCCTGCCTCTGGCCACAGCTATCGCCAGCGCAGAGACACAGAAAATACAGCTGTCAACACACATCAATTTCCTCCTGCCTCCAATCTTTTTGCTAAGCTAGGCTAACCGCAGCCACAGTCTGGCTCCAGCTCAATACTTAACAATGAGTAATAAGCGTGTTTCCCAGAATGTGAAACTGTATCAGTAAGTTTGCTCTTTCTTTTCTTCTTCCAAACCTTAGTCATCTTTGGTCCCTCACATCTGCTCTCTCATCTCAGCTGCCCAACCCTTCTTCCTCTCCACCCACTATGCATGTACGGCGTCTATTTACCCAAAGCACACCATCCATCTCCTGATGAAAAAGGTGGCCTAGAGAGAGAGAGGGAGAGATGGAGAAACAGGTGGAGTCTGCTGTCGTCATGGTAACCCACTGCTTCCCATATAAGGCAACTGAGTGATATCATATGGTTGGCAATGCCTGGGCTTTGCAAAGAGGCACACACTGTACTGAGTGAGAGGCAACAGCAGCGGGAGAGAGAACCAGTGACAGGGAGAGACAGTGAAGAAAGGAGGGAGGGTTTTTTTATCGTTTATATTGGAGACGAGGGGCAAGAGGGTGACAGACACGGGGAGAGAGAGAGGAGAGGAGGAGGAGGAGGGGAAGGAAGGGATGCTAACTCCCTTTTAGGCGCTACTACACGTACCAGTGAGGGGGGACTCTGGTGGATCCTCGGGGCACGGGAGAGACACAGAGCCGCAGTGGGGGAAAAAATGGAGAGGGGGGAGGAGGAAGAAGGAGGAGTGTGGAGCAGGAGGATGCGCCAGGCGGTCGACGTGCTCATTAAGTAGCAACGGTAACTCTCTCTAATGGTTACATCCTCAGCTGAGATGTTTCTGTGTGGTGCTGCCATGACTGTGTGATGCTTCTGTTGCTGCATGGAGGCTGATGGAGTGATGTAAAGTGTGTATGTGCCTGCATTTTCTTAATGTATGTGGAGGCATGTGTGTGTAGTGCAGGTGATGTACAGCTAAGTAGCACACAACTCATCTTCTCCCCCTTTTCTTTATAATGTAAGTGTGTGTTTTTAGGGGAGGGTGCATTTGTCTCCAGGCAGGCAGGTGTTGGCCAGGTGTATCTGTGCTGCTGCAGTCATTTGTATTCATGTGCATCTGTGAGGGCATGCATGCATGTTTTGAAGCTTGTGAGAGAGAGAAGAAACACAGTATGTGTGCAAACAGTATTATTCTGTTAGTGTATACGCGAGTGCACATGTGTTTGTGTGTGTTTGGACTGGAGAGGAAGAAGGCAGACTGTGAGTGAAGAGGGGGAAAAGAGGGTGGGTACAAAGATGGCTACTTGGCATGCAGGTCAGGCATGTATGTCTCTCTGCTTATCCTTCTCTTGCTGTTTCTCTTTCCTGTCTCCCCTCATGTCTCTAAGCCCTGTCTGTCTTAGTGCATATGTGCGCTCAAGTGATTGAGCAATATTGCAGGCAGTAATCACTGAGTCACTGTGCATAGGGGGCCTGTTTGTGATAGATGAGACAGGTTTTATGTTTCAAAAAATGTCTGCTTGTTGGTGCATTAAATTATTTGTAATGTGACTTAGTGGTAGATTTTGCCATTCCAATTTAAGGTGAGTAAACTGTGTGAGAAGGTGATTACACAGTGCATAGCTCTGTGTGAATGGTAGGGTATGCTAAGGATTTTAGCAGTGTGTGTGCTTGACTTCACAATTATCAGCTATTTGTTTCTGTCGCAATAGTTCTGACAAAACCTGTGAGAAGGGTGATAATATTAACACCCGGTTTTCAGTTGTCACCCTTTAATTTATGAAGCCAGCACAAGGAAGCAATTCAAAGTTGAAAACATGAAGCCAGCTGGGGGTTATAGAGGGTGTTAGCTCTGTCTTGAGAAATTATCCTTGACAGCATTATTATTCCTTTGAAGGGAGAAGGCAGGAAGTCAGCTAATGAGAAATAAATATATGTAGGGCATGTACTGATTGCACACCTTTGACTGCAGGAAGAGAAACGATCAGTTTGCTACGACGAAGCATTCAGTCAAATGTCAAAACTTGTACATCAGAATAATTAAGAATGTATCAGGAAGCAGGATGTGACTGGTTGTTTTGATCCACTTTAACTGAATAAAGATGCAACAGCATGCAAGTCACAGACAGAAGGGCAAATGAGCCTTAAAATAATAAAATATAATTTGGGATGTGCAGAAAAGAAAACCTTGATTGTTTTGTTTGGTTGCAGCTGAAGCTGACTGAGGCTGGGTGGCATCACATCAGGTGTGGTTTTGCTGCTTTGGATACAGGTCTAGAAGCTACACAGAGCTCTGAAATCTGAGTCACAGGCCTGTAAAGCTCTCTCTCTTCTAATCTGCTTCCACTACATACTGAAAATAGTCAGATGAAATTCAAAAGTTGAAACTGAGTTTTCAGGAGTGAGCAGAGAAACAGCTGCTTAAACTCAAATAATGAGGTTCTTCTTTCATCTTAGTTCAGTTATTAAGGGCTTTTGGTTTTTCAGCATATGTGATGGAACATATGAAAGGACAACACACCTGTGCTTGAATTTTGAGGCCACATTAAAAGTGCAAGTCATTATGAGAACGAATGCAGTTGCTGTGCACTCTCACTTTTGCTAAAATAGCACAAATGGTTTGTTGTGACAGGTATTTGTCAACTCCTGTGTTTCAGACATGGTAGCCAACGAGGTGCTGAGAGGGAATAGTTTGCAAATGCTGAGCACAGTCCTCACTGTTCAGAAGTGCAGTAGGTGATTACACTGGGAACCGTTAGAATATTGTTCTTACACTTTGAGATTGAGGTTTTGCAGATCTCTTGACGTTTAGCTGAGGCTTTCCATAGACAGATTCAAAGTTGAATTATTCCCTGTAAATGTGGTTCATTCACTCATCACCCTCCCAGGCATAGATGGATTGAGACAACAGGCTCCTGGGCAGACAAATAAAAGGCCCCCCACCCTCCTGTATGGGCCCCACAGTCAAATTGCTTGTTTCCTTGTGATGGTCTAAGTCTGTCAGTGGTGGTTTGAGCCAGTCTGTGGCTTTGTTAGCTAGTTCTTCATCGACCATTATGACTGACCATGAAAAGGTCTTGAATTTCACTTTTTTTAGATTTAAAAAGGCTTTAAAGAGTCATAGAAAATTTAACATGACAGAATGAGTCTTCTCACTTTTATGCTGCAGCACAGATAAAGCCAGTGATGGTGTTTCATTATTTGTTCCATTAACCAGTGCCATATTAGACTATAGGTCACATTGGCAGTGACCGGGTTTATACTGTACATCATCCCATTACCCTCTGTTATAGACCAGTGTGGAATTAAATATTTGAGACATCTGTCATGCAGCCAGACTACAGATAGATGATAGAAAATGTTTTTTAAACGCATCTGGATCTGCAACAAACGTAGTGAAGAAAGTCAATGGACACATTTTTATTTTATTTCAGGTATTTTGCAGTGATAATTAGTGTTGACAGGTTTTTGAGTAGTTCTAACAATTATCTAACGAACTAAATTGACTAAGACCAAGTCATTATCCTTGACAGAGGAAACTAAAATCTGATAGTGTTACTGTACAGGATAAAAGGTCTCTGGAGCCCAGCCATCCATTTTTATATACTTTTTTTTGTTATTGGTGTCAGGACTTTGAAAAGAGTCTGAATTAAAGAATGCAGAGATCTGTTTTCTGATTCACTGCACTCATCAGCCCAAGAGAATGAGTGGAAATTGCTTGAGGAGTAGTGTTGCTTGACTGGGCTTTACCCAACATACCTCTCATTGAGGAGGAACTGAAAGAATCTTGAGCAGGAAAGTGCAGCATAGTTTAAATAGTCAAAAGTATGTGGATGATACCATGGGCATTAATCTGCAAGATTTTCCCCCAGTCGGACACAAGCAAGGTCCGACACTGATGCTGATGATAATGTCTGACTCACAGTCCAGTTCATCCCACAGGTGGTGGATGGAGCTGAGGTCAAAGGTTTGTGCAGGCCAGCCGTGATCTCCCACATCGAATTGGGAAAATTCCAGTATGTCTCTAGCTGTGTGCATGGAGGTATTGCACTGTTGAAATGGGATAGGGACTTCATTGAACTGTTGTCTCAAATCTTGAAGTACACTGAAATATCTGTAGCGTTAAGGATTCCCTTCACTGATCGATCGTAAGCTTTCTTCTGTCACTTAGCCAGCTACCGCAGGCACGCTGAGTGAGACTGTCTCTGAGTATTAGCTGTGAGCTACCTATCAATGGGCCATGTGTGTGTTCAGCTCAGCCTCTGACTGATCTCAGAACTTTCCAGGAACTCCAATTTCTATTATGTACCTCCAGTCTTTTTACTCTTTTCTTCTTGCTTCTGAACAAAATTCATGAAGCTTTGAGATGAGCACAAATATAATTTAATTCAATTCATAATTCAAGTTGAAACTCAAGTTACACAGATGGATCTAGCAGTGGTCCCATTTTGTATGCATTTGCACTCCCTCTAAAAAGAGGAGGTGGACATCGGTCTTATTAAGCAATGCTACTCCTGCTCCTCATTGTAGTTTATAATGCTTTATTGCATTTTATTACAGTATAAATCTGCCACTGAAAATGACCCTCAGCAAATGCACTATTTCTCCCTGTTGGTGTAATGTTTGATTAAAAACTGCAGTGACCAGCTGTTTTAGAAAATTGGTAGTCTTTTTTAGAGAGAGAAACTTGATATTTGAGATTAGTTTATAGAAACTCCTGTGTTGAGGTGGAACAAGTAAACAAACTGAATACATTGTTGGTTTTGTTTTTTATAGGACTTTTTGACAAATAAAAAGAAGAATTAGAGCAGAAAGATGACAGATGTCAGCAATTCTGCAAAGCTTTGATTGGTGGTGTGAAGGAAAAGGATGATGTTAAGAATCACTCAGCCAACCAAACCATGAAGAACAGCCTCAGAACTAATGTGCGCCAGTATGTGAAGTGGGGGGGTCTCCACATAGTTAAGATGACATGTAGAAAGTATATTAGCAGATGAACATAGGGACTTCAGCTGAATGTCACAGATGAGCTGTGCAGCTTTGTATCTTGAAGAATCAAAAGCAGGTTGACCTAAAACATTGCTTCTTTCTAGATGAAGTGAAAATGGCAGCTTCTTAATCCGGTGTCTGTGCGTTGCTTTAATCCTGCTTCTGGGTCCATGCCAGGCAACTCTGCATCCAGGGAGGTGTGGGGCTGAATGTAGGAGCTGCTGGGCCTACATCCTTAGCGTGTGTCTGAAGTTACTGTAAACTTTTGATTAATTGCTGAGAGGCAATTACAGACAATTAAAGTCCTATTATGAAAGTAGCGAAGCGAAGGACAGCACAAGTTAATCTGGCTATCATCACAATAATTAGCACATCATTTCCTCACCAAGCCTAATGTACAAACTGTTTGTTTAAGTTTTACTACAGTTTGTGGTCATTTAAAGCTAAGTGGTGAAGACTGTGGTGACACTTATTGTAACAGTACCACTTACTGTACATGTCTACGTGGGAACTGAGTGATAGTTGTTGTGGTTCTGTCCAGCTGACCATTTGTAGTGTGGTGTTCTGCAGCCATACACATGAGAACATGTCTCACCTTGTCCTTTTCCCCTTTGTCTCCCTCTGTCTCTTCTCTGTCTCCTTTGCTCTTTGTTTTTCTTCCCCCCAGCAACAACCAAACTACTGGAGTTTCAAGGTCAGTGCCAATATTGTGTTTCAGTGTAAATCTGCTCCTCTGTGTGGATTTGTCTTTAATAGGATAACTTCCCATTGTGTCTTTGCATGCCATTCACCACTGCATTTACTGTTAGTTGCATGTTGCACACTGTTAGTTGCACACACATTTGTGTGTTTAGCTTCGTATTATACTGCTTGCTCTGGCATTTCTTTGGTACTAAAGAGAATTTTTGACAACTGTAGCAGCAGAGATTGGCTGGTGCAGGAAAACCCCTTCATGAGTGTCATCAGTGCTGTTTTTGAATTGGGTATTTAAGATTTAAGTACCACCACTTTCTAATGATTGTAGGTACTCGGGGTATAGTTATTTAAATTTTTGAACACAAGAGGTTTAATATGTGGTCTTGTTCAGGTGGTTATAGATGAGAATTCTGTTCCTACTTCCAAAACCCTCTTGTTTATAAAGGACGGCTCCGTACAGAGCCCACCATAGTCTTTGAGTAATTTAAATATGGCTTGTATTATGCCTGCAACTTCATAGGTGAGAGAGAAAGGAAGTGTTTTTTCCTGTGCTAGAACCAGAACAATAACAGACCAATGACAGCAAGCACAGATGAGGTTGATGGAACTCTTCCCAGACTGAAACGTGAACATGAGGTTAGGCTGATGAATGATGGCAAATCAGTCTTGCCAGGTTGTTAGCTGTGCTAGCAGAGAATAACTCTGATTCTGACATATCCTTTAGCACCACCTTGAGGTTGACCTCTTTAGTGAAATGTCTCCAAGCTATTGCCGTGACAATTATTACACACATTCGTGTTCACCTCAAGATGAATTTGGATAACTGAAGCGATCCGTTTACTTTTCATCTTGCATCAAAATTGATTTGTGCCCCCAAATGCCATGTGTTTGCTGTGCAGCATTGGTCCAGGTCCAGCACATTGTAGATGTGAAGTTGCACTTAATGTGCCTCAGTTGCAGGTTTGACTGCTTTCAGCCCCCAGGCAGTTACACCTGGGTTATTAGATTAGCTGAGCAGAGCTTCTGAGCAGAGGCAGCTGTGAAAGTGCTGTGTGTGTCAGCAGGGAAAGATTATTCATGCCCAGTTATTTTTAAAGGGAATATTAATGTAATCTATACTGTAATACACACTTTACCTAGTGACAGAAAATATGGGAGATGGGATTAGTTCTCATGAAGGAAAAATCAGGAGCCAAGTTTAAGCCTACACTGTTGCAAACACATGGTCTTTGAACCTTTTGGATGCCTCTGAAAATGTGCCCACATTGAATGCCATCCAAATCGAACTTCATTTTCACTTGGAGCCAGAAATCATACCAAGCACTGGCCAGGCTGGGATGTAAATAATATGAAACATGAAATGCACAAGTTGATCTGAAAACTGGTCATCAGTTGCTGCCAGCTTCATGCTGTCTCTCTGTTAGTGGTGTGTATCTGTGGCAAGCAGTCCTGGGCACCAGCCTTGTTTGGGCCAGGTACATGGCCATGTTAGACCACTGTCACCTAATTGTTCTCACCAAAACTGCTGGAAAATGCCAATCCTATCAATTACTTAATTTTGCAGTTCTGTGTGGTATAAAAATATTGAGCATGACAGGGACATTATTGGGTCGCTGTTTGTGGAAAAGCTTTTTAAATGTCATTTTGTTTAATGCTGTGATCATCCCTCATGAAATGCCATTCACTGCCATTGTACTGAGGTGGAGGAAGAAATGTCAAAGAAAAAAAAACAAAATTTATCTGCAGGGCAAGAAACCACAAGAAATGAGGAAATACCTTCTTTGGTAATTTGGTGAGCCGGTTATTCCTCCCAAAGCCAGTGAAATGATAAAATGCAGCAAAGTAAACATTAACTGGTCCAGTTGAGCAGACAGAACATGCGTTTTTGACCTAAATTCAAGTGCTGTTGTGTCCCTATGAGACTGACAATTTAATTTCACCATAAAGAACAGCGAAAGGCTATGATGCCTTATTAGCTGAGACATGAATACATTACGCCCATTAAACTGACCCTTTAGACCCGTACGGCGATGTAGCCTGTGGGAGACTGTACTGTTGTGCATATGCTAATGTAAGCACTTACTACAACTGAGAACTTCTTAACCATGAAAGTATTTGATATTCTGGAAGGCTCCTTGTATGCCTATTGCAGACACATGTGATATAAACTGCTGAAGGATTTTCTGAGAAATCTGAACAATAGAAACACTGCTGCTTTAGAACTGAATGGGATGTAAAAGGGCCCACTGTGCCATAGAGCTCCATAGCTATCCAAAAACTATTGAAACAGGCTATCTGCTCTTCTCAAAAGTCTTAAAAGCACTTCCCTCAACAAAGACATTAAAATCTATCAAAATGCAATATAATTTACAGAGGTCCAATATATTTCCTCTGCCCTTGACAGTAATGTTACTTAGACAATGTCTTCAAATGTGATTTGTGATTTGAAATTGACAGCCTTTTTAGCCATTATTCAAAATGTTGGTCTTCAGTAGGGGCTGCGCCCACGGCTGACAGCCACAGACTGGGTGGGAGGTTGATCTATTGAGAGACGGACTAATGCGTTGCCGGTTTTGGTATTTTTTGAGATGATGTAACAAGTGATATATGGTATATTAGTAGGGACTCCAGCAGTATTGTTATTAAATTATAATGTGCATTATGATATGACTAAATTCTGGATGAAAAATGGCCTGTGCTATTTTGTCATATACATAATCGTTCTGTTTTAATCGGTGTTTTTTCTTCTTGTCATGTACTGTAACAGCTGCAGCTCGCTCATTACATTTCCCTCGTCAGTTTAGCTGGTGACAAAAACACATGCTGGCTTTTTTCCACTCTCTCCTATTTGTTTCTGGTCTGCAGCTCATACAGGATTGTTATCGCTCTCCTTCCTCTCAGGGAGTCGGAGAGTCTCGCCGCCTCTTCTGATGCAATAGAAACCCTGCAGCAGTGCACTGCTGTGCTCGTGTGTGTGACAGCGCGCACGTGTTAAATAGTCCCCATTGGTTCCCTTTGATGTTTCATTGGTTTGCCAGCTCACTAAATGTGCACACAAACCTGTGTGATACTCCCACCGCAAAACACATCCATAGGTTAGCACACACCAGCATTAGATGCAAGCACACACATTTCCTTGGGCACATAGACTTGCAGCGGTCATGGAGACCTGGGGAAAGTGTGCATATATTAGCCACACATTTTAGCACTCCCTCTCACGTGTCACCCCCCCCAGTCTTCAAATAATACAGACCGAGGGAATTGTTGGCTTGTCTGTAGCGAACCTGGATTCAAACACCAGTCAGCTGCTGTTACTAACACTGTCACAAACACAGTGGCACAGAGTGATGCTTAATTCTCTCCTTTTCATCACTCCCAGCTTCACTTACACAAATATTAATGCTCCATTTTACGTCTCCTGTGCTTTTGTCTTTTTGTCTGCAGTGGCCCAAGTATTCACAACCTATTGCCTCAGTGCTGAGTTTGTACCACACTGTGGAGATCCTAGTGATGTGTCCTCAGTATTACAATGATTGAGCAGCTACATACATTTCTGAGGCAATTATAATGGAGCCTACTGCAGGTGGGATTTATCTTTGCTTGTTAAAATGACCATGGGGACAAAGCTGAGGAAACGATTACTCAAAAAGGAATGACATCCTTGTGTCCTTCTATAATATATGTAGTTCTATACTGTATTACAATGTCATGATCATGCAGTCATGCTGATTATTGGTATCATAATGTTTACTGTGCCTAATTTGCTTGAGAACCAAGCAATGACAGAGGCATCAGTTCAATAAGATGTTTTTTCATTTTTTTTCTGGTCATGTATGTTAGCTATACACACAGGAACATATTTTCGGGGAGTGGGGGGGGGGTCTGGGTGTCTGGGATACCAAATCAGGCCAGTGTACGGGAATGCTGAGAAAATTTGTATGACACTAATGTCTTACATAAAATGAAAGTGATTAAAATTCTGGATGTTTTCTAAAATTGTTGATTTAATTTTGTTATTTATATTAATGCTACAACATAAACGGGAACCTAGTTATGAGCCACAGTCTCATTTTCAACATCCAGCTTGTCACTATCAAACAATCTTTATTATTAGCATGTAAATAACTTGCACTGTGATGTTTACATTGGAGGGCTTGATAGAACACCCCTGGCAGCACCCCCCTCCCACACTAACAATATAAATTGCACTGTAAAAACTAAATATTTTACAATTTGAGTTCTTCTTTTCACTGCACTCTTAAACAGGGAGATATAATGAAGAGTCATCTGCAAACATCCTTGAAAAAGCATCTTTAGAAGGTTTTTTTTTAAGGTTTTGCATCACCTTGGGGATCCTGGGAGCTTTGTAAGGAAGTCAGCATTTTCATTGACGACATGTGATCAGAGCATTTTCTTACAGAGAGGCATCCCCAGACTTCCCCCACCATATTTGTCCCAGTGAGCTAGCTGAATGCTAACCCATTCAGGCAGCTGCTTTTGTTGTCCTTGTGCTGTTTGGCTGTTGATATGATGCTCGGTGGAAATCTCTATTCCTCAATCTGACTCAGAAGAGCGGGAGCGTTTTCTACCACTAAAAGGCTTAGGAGGCCAACTGCTGCAGTGTTCCCCAACTGGCATAGTGCTGAGGCATGTGGCCAGAATCACTTATTGACAGTTCACTGCCATCTGCCAAGGCTGCAAGGTTTGCTTAGCAGCCTACACATTTAATAAGGCTGAGCTTGGTGGAAAGCAATAACAGGAAGAAAAGTTCTCCCTGGATTTTATGTGAAAGACAATTGTCTTTCATTGTAGGGTGAATATCTGAAACCATGCAGAGATGAAACAGGAGTGAGTGTTGCTTTTACATGGCTGACTGGTTCACAAGGGTTTTTAATGTGTATTTCACAAATGCATTAAAACCCGGGTCATCTCACACCTAGTGCGATGGCGTCAAGGTCATAGCCAGACTCCAGTCACTGCACAAAGTGTATAAAATGTCTGATAAATACACTTCAGTCAATTCAGCAGGGAAAATCTGGGCAGGTAAGTGAACAAGAGGTTCTGTCCACCCTTGAGCAAGGCATTTAACCCCTAGCTTCCGGTGTGGATCTGCCTCTCCCCCCTCAGGTGAGATGCTTGTCTGACAGCTCACCTTGCTCAGTAGTGCCTGCATTGTAAAAGCCAGTTTAGATACTGTGACACAGAATTTTAGAAGTGAAATATGTTGGTAGGCCATAAGGCTTCAGATGCTCTCTCACTGGGGAGGAATGCCACGGTATACACTGATAATGCCCATGAAATCTCTGAGTTTGGAGGTGTGACAGCTGCAGGGGGCTATGCGTGGTACAGCTGTGCACAGCTGCTTTGTCAGTCAAGACCCTGCATATGAGCTGGTGGGAAAACTGGGTCTGCTTCAGAAAAGGACAAATCAGGGACTACAGAGCTGATGGAGGAGGTTTAAAATGGTAGAACGAGCTGTGAATCAATATACATATAAGCCTCTAATGACTCCTTATGTCATAGTGTCAAGTAGAGGAGCTAATGAAGAGTAAATGAGGAAGCTCTTTTCTTGCTTTTAAATGAGATGCTGGAAGAGGAGGTAAGAGTCATCTGTATACAATGGAGAATCATATTTACTGTAAATCTGCAGGATCTTTTCACAGACATCTCCTGCTGCTGCTCTCTGGGCTCAGTGTTTTTTGTTTTGTAGCAGCATGTGGCATTGCTTGTGGTCAGGACTACTGCAGCGTGTTTTCATTTTTTAATTGTATTTTTTTCTCTCTCATTTAAACCTTGTATTTTGTTGGCACTGGCTAAACACCCTCATTGTTTTGGCTTCCACAGACCTGACCTGAATGTAAATTTAACAATAATATCTGCAAAATCAACCATTTCCCCCTTCAAATATTTTGTCTTTTAGAAAAGTATAAAAGTGGTCACCGTTTTGCCACAGACAGAGCTTATGAGGTTTAGCTGTATTTAACTTTTTTTTTTATAGCTGTAGTGTCTGAAAGCTCAAACCCAGGTATTGTTTTTTTTTTTTTTTTGTAGTGGACCAATGAAATGTCCTCATTCAAATCACGTTTTTAAGCACTTTCTTGGAAATCACAATGTTAAGTACCAAGCTGAAAGAAGGACCCAGGACTATAAATAGTATCTCAGGTGTGAAGAAGTGCTATAGTTTTGTTTGGCCAACAATGTAAACCCATCGATATCCAGTATAAAATGATATAAAACAGTGAATGTTTGGCGTGTTTGCTTGAAGAGTTTCTTAAGCAGTGAACTGGGTAATTTTAAGTTAACTTCAAGTCATTTATTTAGCTTTTATAAGCAGTATATACCATTTAATAAATGATTTCTAACACACTATGATGTAGTTTTGAGCACACAAATGATGATGTATTTAACATCTAACTCCTGTGGACGCTCAGACTTGAGTGGAAGCTGCTGTATATACAGATAATGACTATACAGTAAAACACAGCTGTAATATAAAATGTTCTAATTGTTAATAAATACTGGATGTAAACACTTGTTCTTATCTACTAACAACTATATTGTATGTATTATGTTTATTTTGTGTACTGCTAATAATCCTAACTGAGGTACTTAAAGTAAGGTGTTATTGTTAAACTGGTTTCTGATGTTTTTTAATTAATGGACTACAACCATGTGTCATTTCTCACTATACGTCTGTTGCACCCACTCCTCATCTCAGACTTGCCTAGTTATGTTAGTAGCTGTACAACATTCTCCGTGACTGCAAAGCTTACCTGATGCATCGACATCCACTGGGCAGCGTTGTGGCTCAGGCTTGTTGTTGTGATCAGTGCAGCAGCAGCTCTGCCAGGCAGGGTTTCACAGTCTGTGGAAGGAAGGGGCTGCTATGCAGCCAGCTGTATGGTAATTGTTGTAGAAAAGAGATAAATGACTCCTCATGATGATAGGCTAACCGCTATAATTATTTCAGTTATCAAATTGCACAAAACAAAACGTTATCTCTCTAATTGAATCTTGTAATTGTAGTCTGTGGTGATGAAATGAAAATCTTATTTCAGGACCATTTAGACCCTGAAGTTTTACTTTGAAGTCATCATGAAATAATGATATTGCAATTACAGCACCATCTGGGTTTGATGTCTGTTGGGAGGCTGCTCATTGGGTGAAAAAAAAAATCCATGAAATCACACTGTAGGTGCTCCTAACAAAACTGGGCGGGGTCTCCTGTGAAATAAACCTTTAGCAGTATAATATATGATGGTGGCAAATGGACTTAAGAACATAGTCTACATAAAACCTTATTATAGGACACAACTGTTCTATTCTTGAATGGATCACTTTCAAGGAGAAATCATGCGCCTCATTGCATCGTCCTTCAGTTATTACAATTCAATTTCAAGATGTAGAAAGTCGTAACAGATTTTTGCATGACTATTCTGCCCCAATGAAATTCATAGAAACCTCCATGCAAGAAAATATAAACAGCCATTTTCCTGACTGTATTGTCTGAGTGCTTCAGATGTCAGCGGAGAATGATGTTTTATGTGTTCAGTGTTGAGCTGGTTCAGCTTCAGAGACCTTTGTGCTGTCTGTTATATGGTGTGATGGCCTGGAGAGAGAAGTCAAACACAGCCAAAATGCACCACAGTTAACAGAGCAGCATTTTGTTATGCTGGACTTAGGTGTGAGCTTGCTCTTACATGTTATTGGTTGCAAGTAGCATCTGAGTTCAAATGCAGTGTAGAGATGATTAGTTGATTGATCTGTTAGAATTTAACTTGCATATGTTTTGATAATGAATGTTATTTTTTTTTAAGCACATAAAAATGCCCTTGCATTCATTTACTTCCAAATATGAATGTAGGCTGTTTTTTATAAACATCTACAATTATTAACACAAAATTTTAGTTTCTCTTGATGGGACAAAACTTGACACCAGGTTGGGATGATGTGGCGTTTTCTTGATGCGGTTCGATACATGATATTATATGGTTCCCCCCCCCCCCCCTTTTCTAGTGCGGTTTGATTATGTAAAGAACAGTTAGATGTATGGACTATGTACTGTTAGGCTATCTTATTTACAAAAAATATGAAGTTAGAGACCACACGATATATATTGCTAGACAAAAACTATACATATTGTGATGTTTTTTTGTATCGCGATCTATTGAATCTTGACATGTTGCCGCATCTCTGTGCTTCACACACTGTTACACTATGGATAGAATCGTCGTAGAAGTGATTCTGGTGATGTTTGTATTTTCTGTTTCCTGTCATGACTTATCTGTAGTGCAGCAGCATGAGAGGGAGGAAGTCCCACTGAGAGACCCTGTCATATGTTTTTTTGACCATTACTGTGGAAATCCAACAGCAACCAGGCTGCTCTTCTTTATTTCAACCTAAGGAGACAGTCCTCTGCAGCAGATGGAGATGAGAAAACGGGAATGTATTTCTTCATCTCTTCTACTCTCTGCTCTGTTTATTCTCCTTCTTCATATTTCATTGCTCCTGTGCTATACGTTCTGGTCTGCTCTTTTTCTTCCTATCTGCTCTTCTAACCCTTTGCTTCACAGTTCACTAAACTTAAACTTTATAAATCCTGGTTGCTGTGTTCTTTTCTCTTCAGTAGCTCGATTCTTGTCTGGTTGAAGGCAGAAGGTGCATGGCGTCTGGCTGACACTCTCGCTCCAAGACCATAAATCTTCAAACACATGAGACACAGCACACATACAGTAATCTGTCAGGCTGTTCTCTGTGTTAAGAGATGTGTGGTTTCAACAGTTTTATGTACTCTCAAAACGCTATTAAAGTAGAAGGAGCAAAGCCCCGGGAGATAATTTGGTGCAGCGGATTGTGTGTGTTTTATTCTTGAGGTCTGTCTTTTGACATGAGTGGTGGTGTTCACTACATGCTTGTGTACACGTGCATGGCTGAGTACCATGCTTACATGCTCTTGGCTTGTTGCAGCCTCAAATCAAACACAAGCGACAGAGCTCTTGTGAGGAACGAGCAAAGATGCATCGCTCAGTTGGAGTTGGCTTCACACAGCAGTGTGGGAGCTCATTACTGTATTCTTTGGGCTGGAAAATGCCTGTCAGTAAGGATTCATTAAACACCAACCTGCTACAGCAGCTCCTGCTTGTGCTCTAATGAGAGGTCCTCCACAATCTGGGCTTTCCAGTGGTTCAGATGGGACAGGTGAAATATTACTGGTAATCTGCGTAACAGATACAGTAGAAGCTGTCAAGATAGAGATTTGCCTTTACTGTGGTCATTAGCATTACAATGCTTGTGTTGGCTCAGTTCTTTACAGAACAGTTGAAGCCAGCTTATTGTCGCCTGTCCAGGCTGCTGCACTCTCTGGTGTCTGCATCCATTTATTATATCTTTCTTCAGGCACATTTCACTCGGCGAAGCCTGCTGCCTGCTCAGTTTATCATCAGTTCTGCACACTCTACCCTTTAGAAAGTTTAATTGAAGCATTGTTCATTAATGTGATTTTTGTCCACATTATTAATACGGGTGGACCAGTCTGAGGGTGTTAAGGGCTTATTGTGGCTCCGATGCTGGGTGGAGGCACTTTGTTTAACCTGGTTGACTGTGTCGCTCTAATTTTACCAGCTTCTGCTTTGTTGGTAGAGGAGCACATAAAGGCTGCTTTGTCTGAGTGGAACTGTTTCCTTTGTCTGTGCCTGTGTGCTAAAAGCTTTTTTTTCAATCACTCTTTTGTTTCTTTGCATTGATTTCCTGAGGACATTTAGTTTGCTGTTGTGTGCCCTACATGTTCATTGATCACTGTATTGGCATCGCAGCAGAAATAGCAGATGTCTGTCCATTGTCTTTTCTTCTTTCTTGATCTGTGCACTCCCACTGTTTCTTTTCTCCTCTTCTAACTTCCTATCTTGTGTCTCACAGACTCGCACGCCACGTGTGACACGACTCAGCCCAACACAGCCGGCGCTTGCTGACCAGGCCAACAGGGTTTCCTTTGCGTCAGCTGAAAATCTGGAAACCATGTCAGAGCCGGATATCCCCATTGGCTTTAACCGGATGAACCGGCTTCGCCAGAGCCTGCCACTGGCACGCTCCTCCAGCCAGGCCAAGCTGCGGGCGCCAGGTCAGAGCAATGACTTTAGGAAAAATCAACACTCTGGGCTATAGTGAAACTTCATAATCTGTATAGTATTTGGTTTGATTTGATTGATAATTTTAAGAAGTTACAAAAAAAATCAAGCATAAAAAAGGATACTGACACTCTGGAGTCTGCATCCATCCCATGATCCATCTGTGACCTCTAAGAGTTGCACTTTACTGTCTTTGCTGTCACATCAGGCAACAGCAGCGGTGCCCATGTTTGGCACTGTGCCCTGAATTGTGTTGATCTGTCTTCCTTTTCTGTCACTCATGTCGATTTATGTCACTTTTAGGTTTCTAGTAAAGTCATTCTGGCTAACAGTAAGGCCAGGCTTGTAAATTTTACCCAGTCATCCTGTGTCCTGTCTGTGTGTAAAATGATGCTGTGAAACTAAAGGCCAATGATTCGATCAGTAACATTTGGTGGTTTGAGTTGTGGCCCTCGTCTTCTACACAGTCTCCTGCCAGCCTTGGTAACTGCAGTAAAGCCCAATCTACTGCCAGCATCACTTTGATTAACAAGTCGAGAACCAGTCACACAGCAGACCTGTCCACACATCTGAACCATTAATCTTGTTTTTCACAAGATGTAGTAAACAAGACACATTACTTGTGACTGTGTAGTGTATCTCTCTTGTTGTTTGAGTTAACTGAAGGCATCAAGAGTTAATCTAGTAAACATGGCCCGGCCCTCTGTCAGTTGACTGTCTGTAGGATTTCTGGACATGAACAGAGTTGTCTACTGCTTCCAGATGATCCTTCCAAACTGCCTGTCATCACTGATTAATGGTTTTGGCAGGGAACAAAATCATCCTTGCATACTAAGCATATAAGGAGGAGGGTGATTTGCAGGCGTTGGTAAAAGTGGGACAAAATGCAAATGCTGTAATTTTTGTAATAGTTTGTTCAGGTGTGATGCATAATATGGACACATTTCTTTAGGAATATTACTGGTTAGCAAATTTTACAAGCAATATTTACAATCTGATCAGGACTCTTGTTTTTACATGATAATGCATTACAACCTGTATCAGTCTACATGCATGCAACCCAGGCAATAGGGCATCCAGGCCACACATGAGGCTCAAAATACAATCAAGTTCAACTTTACACTAAATGAGCTTTTTAGAGTCAGTAAATTGTATGTACAGTCACTTAGTTATACCACAAATTGACTGGTGTAGAGAGAGGGCTTGAATGCATGTGTTTGAATATGTGAAGAGTGTGTGTTCAGAACTGGCATTCAGTTCATTCTCTGCACACCGAGCGGCACGAAATACAAATATTTTAAGATAAAAACTGTCCCTCCACTCTCTTCATTACCGACTCCAAATTTCATTACCCTCTTCAACAATCATGCATCTCCCTCATTGCTCCTCCCCATCCATAAATACAGGGATCTTGTTCCTCCAGCTTGGGGAGGAGACTCGCAGGGTGCACCTGACTCATGAGCTGACCAGCCTGGACACTCTGAGGGCCCTCATTGTGCACATGTTTCCCCAGAGGCTCACTATGGCCATGCTCAGGTACGCCTGCATTACCTGAAACTGATTTCACTGTTTAGGTGGTTAGCGATCTTAATTAACTTCTGCAACGCTACATTTACACTTCATTTACCACAAGTTTTATCAATCAATCACAAGCTGAGGAGTGTAAGTGACGCATACCACTGTAAACAAGGGAAGTGTGAAATTGCCACTTTGAGGCCACAAATTGACTGAACTAAATCTCATTTTTCCATCATTCTGTAAATGGGTCAAAAAAATCAGTGGGCATTTTCATCAAAGCATTAATTATAGATTATGTAAAAGCGGCTCTAAAATTGCTTGGTTCACGTTTTAAACCGCACGGTCTCCACTCCTGAATATTACATTTTTGATGAGTTCAGTATCAGAGTGTGTCCACTCGATTCTCTCACTACGCTGCCTCCTGCAGTTAGAGACCTCCCAGTTCTCCTCTTGTTCTGTAAATGAATGTACATTGTTGATTATTAGTGGGTAATAGGTGCTGAAATTGTCTGTGCATGGACTATTCATTAGGGTTTTGGGCCCTTGTTTTTGTTGCTTTCATCACTGTTGATGTTCAGGTCTCCCAGTACAGCTCTGCTGATCAAAGATGAGACTCGTAACGTCTTCTATGAGCTCGAGGACCCACGGGATGTGCAGGACCGCTGCGTAATTAAGATTTACTGCAAAGAGCCCATTTATGGCACCTACCCTGGACATCACAACCCACACCTGGCCAACGGAGACTTACAGGTAAGTGTGTGTCCCTGGTGCTGTCATTTGATTCTTTGTCTGAGTGTTATATATGTTTTTCTGCACCAGTGATTTTTCTCAGTTTTCTGAATTCAAAGAAATTTCAGTGATGTAGAAAAGTTCAGTCAGAAGAGAATGACTGAGACATAATACAGTATTCATGACTGTTCATCCACATTAGCTTTGCATGGCTATGGTGCCAAAAATGTAAAGTGATGCCAATAATCTTCAATCACAGTCACCTTCTTCACTACCAGCTAACTCTTTGTGCATCAGGCTTCTGACTCACAGGTTAGGGAGCAAGACAAACACTTGTTTCTTTCTGGCTGTGGCACATAGCAACCAACTAAATCACTAAATCATCCCACATAGAATAAATTTTGTAATTCCCCTTGA